TGCCAGCAGGCAAAAGAGTGGAACGTTCCCCAAACTTCCCCCATTCTTTCTGTGTTCACACTTTTGATTTGTTTCTACCATTTGTCACTACCCTCACGGAGGGGAAGTGGAAGTGGGGGGGGGGTTCTTTGGATTGTACTTTTGGAGATTCAGATCTAAATATTGCCCTTGGTGGCGTGATGTGCCAGGTGTGGAGAATACCAATGGGACACCTTTCAAGCAGTGGAGCAGCAGGGAGGAAGGGGGGGGGGGGGGGGGTGAGTGCTGGCCATATAATAACCATTACTCAGCCGAGATGGCTATCCGGAGAGGGCTATCAGTGCTGGGACTGGAGACACCGTGATTAGATTTTCCCTGTGTTGCTCTTCTCCTCTGTCTCTGGATCGCTGTTGCCTGTTATTCTCCCTTTGAATATTTTTGCAGGCAATTCAACAGGGATCCTATTGGTTGTAGATTTCAGGGAATTTCATGGTGAAGTGCAAGGTAGGAAAAGGACAGACTAACGTGAACTGTATGATGAATCTGCCGACCTGGTGTAGGTTATTAATTCATTAGGATTTATTCATATTATGGACAAAATACAAATCACATAATAATGCGAGCCTTGAGTTTGACACATGGGATTGAAACTATGCATTTGAGCATTTTCCTGGTATATCCTTTTTATCTTCAACTCATCGCGCTTCCCCATATATTTCTCTGTAATCCTTCATTTTAAGCCCTCATTTTCCTTCTCCACCGTTCTCCGTTCTCCGTTCACTCTCTACCTCCCAGCAGATCCTCTGTGGGTTCACTAGACAAACGTGAGTCTGTGCCTGCATGCAGTGGCGCTGGGTAATCATCTAATGTGATTATGCTGCTGATGAAATTAAATAATTTCAGTGAGTGAAAATAATAATAATATGAGTAATAGGCACGGTAGGGGGTGGGGGGGGCAGGCTATGTAGGTCCCAGTCTCCCCTCTCAGTCTCCCTTTTTCAGCCCCCACTCCAAGAGGTAATTGATGGCTAAAGATAAACAGCTTTGAAGCGGGTGTGTCAGAAGATCTTGACACCTGATGAAAATGGATGATGTGTGTAGTATGGAATAAATCCACACAGTCATACACCATCTCCTTCAACTCTCATTCCTTTTACCGGGGTTGGTGGTTCAGTTGTCTGTGTGGCGAGGCTTTCACAGTGGAAGAGCAACACGCCGCGGTTAAAGTGATGAATCTTATTCTATAGTCACGTTGGCAACTGGTAACGCAGCCAATAGAAAAGCCTCTTCTTTTTTTAAAAGATTCAAGTGGGAGAACGCAAACATTTAGAGGCACAGGTAGTGATGTTAGCCATGTCCAAACTCAGGCTCGAGGACCAGATGTGGCCCTTGATCTAATCTTTCAACACTGGCCATTTGTATAATATGATTCAAAATGATTTTTCTTCTTTTTTGTTTCTGTCTTTCTTGTGGTCTCATGTAAAAATAAAAATACTGCAGTATTGCTCAGCTAAATCTTTGCTGGCCATCATGAATTTTTTGTTGCAGTAATTTTTTTTGTCTTACTTTCAGCTCCTTGTCACTTAAGTTCTCTACACGTTCGCTTCATTTGGGCTCTCATTTAGTTTTCTAAATTGTGTTACCCAGTTAAAAACATTTTCTTAACTACCTAAATTGCATTTCATTAAAATCCAATTTAAAGTAAGCATTTGCTGTGGCCTGAATAAACTTGTTTTCAGAAAATAAGTATGACAGTCAGATGCCTTTCAAACCTGGATGCAAACACTCATAGGTCAGCAGGGAGGTGTTGTGCTTTGGCCAGATGATAGCGCTGTTGACGTCAATCACTATAAATGTGATTAGTCAGAAGAGTTTAATCAGTCCAAAGGGCAGATCTGCTAAGATGGCCACACTTAAAAGAATAGGAAGCAGAAGGAACAGAAGGAAAGAGTCGGCAGATTAACAAACAGCCACGGCTGAGCAGACCAGGAGCTTACTGAAGGTTTTGAACCTGCCACTTATATTAGGATAATAAATTGGAGAGCAAAATTAAATTATGGAATCAAACCAACAACCATTCCATAAAGAGAGATGTTTTCAATTTGTCTTAGAAAGTATCTACTGACCCTCGAACTTCTGCTACTTCAACTACTTTTAGCTGTTCTACTTACGCTTGCCAGTTTGCCATAGCAACAAAAATGTTTTATTTTTAATCATGGGTTATTTTTTCATCTTCATTGTCTAAATAACACGTAGCAGCTGTCAAGTCTTCACTGTTTTATTACTGAACACTGAAGAAAAACCTTTAGGATTCATTAACCAATCACTTATTGCTGCAGGAAGTTGACAGCGGTCACCTGCGGCCTGCTGTAGAACTTTCTTGGAACACTGCTGCGTGTGGATCGTAGCTGCGGCGCACAGTGATTATTGGTCCCAGTGACAGAGGTTGCTGTGGGCCAAATAAATAGCAGCGTTGTCGTTCAATAGGGCACATTTGTCGATGGTATTTAGCCTCCGAAGATTTGTCACCGCAGAGTTCCCTCAGTACACATCATATAAATGCAATTGTCATTCCACAATGAAAGAACAGCCCCATGGGAATTCTGTTCTTTTATCAGCTCGTGTCATTGGTTCTTTGGGTTTTATTTATTTATTTATTTTTTTTGCATTCAGCCCTGCTAACCCTGAAGTAACACTCCCTCGATGAGTGATCTATTTATTTTTGCATGGCTGCCTTTATCGACGCAGCTCTCTGAGCTTCAGGGGGGAAAGATGATATCAGACTCCTATTCCTAGGCAAGTAAGAAACCAGTTTGCATGCTATTTATTCAGTAAAGGCTGCAAGTGCTGTATCAGGTCAGTGCAGCCGTAATGAAAGTATAATCTCTCCCTGAGTCCACCGTACCGTGTGTGTGTTTTTTCAGACGGTTTGTTTTTGTTTTCAAGCCTCCTTTTTCTGGCCTCCGTCTCCTCCTGTCTCTCTGCTTAATTTAATCTGCTTCAAACCCAGTTACTCTGGGCCAGTTTGGAGCCTAATTGCTACAGTGCGTCTATAGGCGTCTCTCTGCTGTTTGTGATGTTGTGAAATGTACAGCTGGACCACGGTGACCTCAATTACAGCATTTTATACGAGAGTCAAATGTCAAAATTAACCTCTGCAGATGCACCTCCCCGAGAGGAGATGCCTAAAGGTTTATGAGAGCGCAGCGCCTTTGTGTGACACCTTAAACATAGATCAATGACGACACTGAGAAGAGTGACTTTGAACATCGTACTGTACGGCTCTGCCTTCGGATTGCATCCTCGTCCTTGAGATTCCACAGTAAAGTGTGGCCTTGTCGTTTCCTTTGCGAGGTACACGGCGAATGGGTATGAGGAGATTATGCCGGAGCGATCATTAATAATCGATGGAGCGATGCAGCAGAAAGCTCTAAAAACTGGATGGAAGCCCGTACTTTGTTGAACCTAACATTGATTATGCATTGTGCTCTGCTGATGTCAGCCTTAGTTAGAGGCCCACCGTCTGGACCTGGTTTTGAGATGCTCCATGTCTCATTTTAAAAATTTTCTTTGTGCACCTCAATGTCTGCACAAACATTCACACACCTGAGATGGATTTAGAGATATAATCCATGAACGCAAATTATTTAGCCACAATTTTTGTGGGAAAAATTTGCCAGTATGGATTGTTTTATGAGATGTTTTTCTTTTGTGCTAATACAAGGGCATAAAGACACTACCTGCTCTTATAATGCCCTTTAAAATGCCCTCGATTTTGTTCTTTGTCTTAATATAGTGCCGCCCTATTGTCTGCGGCACCAGCGTGATGTCACAGAGTGGATATGAGGTCATGGGCTCCCCAGATGAAACACTGACCTCGGTTGTGTCACTGGCTGAGCATCTTAGACCGTGAATCTTTAGCCAGTTGTAATGTGGCCTTGAGCTTTTGATGTATATTAGACCTCAGGGCACTTCCCTTTTGGCTTTCATCATTTTAGAATGAGTCACTGCTCTAGTTGGGGTGGAGGTCGGACAGTTTGACCCGCGGGACTAATCGCTCCGAGGAAGAAGAGTCTAGATGAGGAGAACAATTGCCACGGAGCACACTGTCATCTCTTAGCATTCAAATGACTGTGCAATCATGCATGATTATTAGCTCCGAGGATGGTCACAGTGTTGGTGAAATCTGACTGGTTACATCTCCCTGTTTGAATAAAGGCCTCTGTTGTCAGGTCAAAACATAAATGTCTATTTGACACGGTGCTATGTTACTTCACACCAACTCTAATGACCTGTGTTCCACTGCAACACGTAGCAACTGGAGATGCAGAAAACAGCAGGATTACCAGGCATTATTTTCAGTCGCTGGTCTCCCCTGTTGATCCTTTTCCTTTTTTAAGGCCATTCGTTTTGCTCCTGTTATAGCAGAAACTAATACGGGCACAGAACCAGTGTCTTCAGTTACGCCATTAAACAGGACACATTGTTCCTAATGGAGAGGTAGATAGTAAGAACTGCAGTCTAATCAGTGAGCTTCTGGTTACAGCACGGTTACTCTGACAATTAAAAAGCCATCTCATTATCTAAGGAGGGGCGAATGAAAGAGAGTGCACTTCACAGTTTCTTGTGATCTTTGCTCTGTTGACTTCACACAGAGTTGACTTCCTGTGAAATGCAGTTTTTTTTGCTCTTTTGCTTTTTTGTTGTTTTGTTTTTTTCAGGGTTTTTTGCTGTTTTGCTTTTTTGTTGTTTTGTTTTTTTTGGGTTTTTTTGCTGTTTTGCTTTTTTGCTGTTTTGTTTTATTTCAATAACATGGTTTATAAATCTAATCAGTGTAAAAAAAATAACTTTGCCAAATCACTAAGGACTGCTGTTGCAGTTTAAAATTCATAGAAATCATAGAAAAACATCGTCTTTGTAATTTTGAGCAGGAACTCTGTGAGCAGGCCTTCAGAGCTGTCACTGTCTCCTTATCTTGTCAGAAGACTCACACATCCTGTCTGTGCTTGTTCTTTCCACAGAGGACTTACTCCCATCAGGGTTCCCTAACATCGACATGGGCCCTCAGCTGAAAGTTGTGGAGCGAACTCGAACAGCCACCATGCTGTGTGCTGCCAGTGGCTCCCCTGACCCAGAAATCACCTGGTACAAAGACTTCCTGCCCATCGATCCCAGTGCAAGTAACGGCCGCATCAAACAGCTACGCTCAGGTGAGAAAATCGAGAGAACAAGTCGTTACGGTTGATCTTCTGACTAATTCCAGCACTTCTTTTTCCACCTGTAGTTCTTGTTCAGCACAATCAGTGTGATGTTTGGCAGGAAATGCAGCTGTAATGTGTGTGATATCTTTCTTTTTTTACAGATTGTACAATGAAATGAAAGCTGTAAATTACAGCTGGAGAGCTTTACAGCAGTGTTATATCTTATAAAGCATTGTTTTTACGACTGTTTGCTACTTTAGTCTGAATGTATCCCATTTTCAAAGAAGAGATTTTAGTATTTGATTCTTTTGGCAAAGCTACTTGGATTTGTACAAAAGGAGCAACATTTCTGAAAGATCCACTCACGTAAATAGCAGTAAAGATACCGTGAAGGATTAATGTTTTGTATCCTTAACTGTTTGAAATATGATTTTTTTTTTCTTTTCAAATCAACCACCAATCATTGATGTCGTGACAGAAGTCTGTCACAGTCCATATTCTGCAGTCACAACTCAGTGGTGGAAATGTTGTCTTGTTCCGATTGATTAAACTCCACTGAGAGGCCCAGTAAAGCAGAGTCTAATTATAAAGCTAATTAAGTGCGGACCCCAGAGTGGCCCTGGGCAGTAAGGGGTAGATATTTTAGGTCAATGATTTGATCACCAATTGGAAAAAAACAAAAAAAAAACAAATCAGGATGGACACCACTGGATAAAGAGCCTGTTGCTGTGAAGTCCCTGCCCCAGTTGTGTCTCTCGTGAGGCTGTTGTTCTGGAAAAACGGATCAATTTGTCATCACATTATTCATGCTTTACTTTAAACAGAGAGCGTGCTGCGTTCAGAGACACTTCCTGATGCACTTCAAGTCAAAAGGGGACATTTAACCTCAGAGTTTTGCAAAACTGAGTTAATATTTGTGTCATGGAAATACAGACAAAACTCAAAGTCACCAGTGAAGCCCTGTGTGATATTAAGACCTACAGAACAGTACGTGGTGATTCTACAGACTGAATATTATCCTGTCAAATACTGACAAGTAAATGAAGTTAGTTTGTCAGTTCTAACCTGTTTGTCATCTGTCTTTAGTCTGTTTCCTCCAGTTCTAACCTGATTGTCATCTGTCTTTAGTCTGTTTCCTCACGTGTCTTTGTCTGTCCTGTCCAACTGATGTGTTCTGTGTGTATCCGTGTCTGAAACTCTGATGTGTCCCAGTGCACATGGTGGAGTCTTCAACACTCTGACCCATAACACAATTATAAAAATGTGTCCTAACTCTAAAATAAGAGCAAATCTTTGCAGCCGCTCTTTAGAGATAACAACATAATGTTTTTTATAATCTTCCTACAGTTGAAATAATCATTTTTACTTTGTTTTTTAACATATTGAGAAACAAACATAATAATTTACATATGTCTATGAATTCCTTTATTTCTTGGGTGGGAGTGACATTCAGCCCTAATCTAAATTGAACGTTGTTGTTTCTCCCCCCCTCCTTTTTTTCTATATAATTTCCTTTTTCTTTGTCATTTCCAGAAGTATTTGGTAAGTGTTTATGCAAAAAACCAAACCCAGCAAGTCCACCCACTCTCCTTAAAGCAGATGGCATATTCAAACCACTCTCCAAACTGCATGCTTCCCTGCTCCTTCCCTCACTCTTTTCCTTAAACCCACGTCTTATTTATTATATCGTTGGATTTTTATCCTTTTACTTATTTCACAACTTTGTTTCTTTTTTCTTTACCTCCTAAAATTCCTCAGAAGGCAAATGTAGCTACAGCAGCAGCATGAGGGTAGAAATAGGACTTGATATGAATTCATCACACCATCAGCTGTTCTGATGTTCACCTGCATTCTCAGATCACAGCACAGAGATTTACAAGTATCTTAAATGTCAGTGAGATTGTTGTTGTTGCTGCCTTTGATGCCAAACTCTGCCGAAGTCATGTGACATTTTCACATTCTGGTGGATTTGATCTGTCAGGGAAGGGTGTTCCTTCGTTCGTAGTTTGAATTTATGCAGGTTAGAAAATGTCCAGTTTACATTTTCAATGGATTACAATCTTTTAGTGCACAAAAACAAACACAAAGCAAAGCTAGAAGTTTCAGGCCGCAGTTTTTTTTTATTCCCCCATTGATCAGATATATACTGTCAATTTTGAGGTGGAGCCTGAAGGTGGATTTTGGGAGGTACTGTCATAATGTAGAGCTTAATGAAGGTCTAAACATATTTAAAAAACTTTAAAAGTTTGGAAACAATGCATCCTGGGACATTATTGGCTTCTCCTGCTCCATAATGATCCAAAAATTATTTTAGAACACTCAGTGGTTCCCAGATATTGATTCCTCCCAGCCATAACAACAGTATTGACACTGGCTACCACATATTGATTTTCAATTTTTTTTCATGTAGTCTCTATCCTCTCTCTCTCTCTCTCTATCTCTCTCTCACTTTAAAGTGCCAGATGTCCACTTCTGCTCCGATCACTGGAGACAGATGTTAATATTAGGTCTGAACACAGCCTACAGTCTGGAGAGGGTTTGAAGCCCTTGTTTGCCAGAGAGCCCAGTGTCACTGCTTGACTGCCTTCTATATGCGAGATCACGCTGTTCCCACAGGGCAGTGATATTTGGTCCTGATTCCCCGAGGAGCTCATCTAGACATGTGGAGGGAGCCTGACATTTTCTCCTCCAAGTCCCCGGAGCTCCACACCCGGGGCCCCTCACTGGCCCTCGTTAGGCAGAACAGCTTAACAAGGGCCAGTGAGAAAGTGAGAGAATAGTGGAGGACGGGGGGGAGGAGGGCACATGCAAAGCCATAAATATCAGTGTTCTTTTAACATTTAGGAATTAACAATGACCTGACTTTGAAAGGACCCCATACCTACAGATCTACTGTGCACATTCCAGCCGGAATAACTTTGACTTGTACGCACATTAACTGACATCAAAGCGGCTCCGCAGGGAACGCTCAGGCCGTCCGCAGATGTGCTAACGGCAGCCAAGCATTTCACATTAGCATGCTGAAAACCCACCAGAAGACGTCCAGATGGATGTCGGTGGTGAAGTAAAGGTCAGCGAGATGCCCCCTAGAGGGTGGTCAGACTTTCACGCCCTCATAAATCCTTGTCCTCCCATATTGTTTTTTTACAGTTTATTTGGAGGATTTTGTAATGAAACATCTGCTTCGTGGAGCAAATAAAGTTTCATTGACCATGTGATGTTATCTGTGTCCTGCTGGTGAAAATGTAGGTCATGGTAACATGGTAATCTGATCAATCCCAGACTGACCAAGGCTTAAGTCTTTATGTCTCACGTCTGTAAAACAGGTGAATCAGCTGATGTATATGAACAAAGCTGCTCACTGTGATAGGATATGGTTAACGATCAGTTGAGTTTTATTAATCTCATGCTGCTTTATGATAAAAGAAAACGACCCTGAACCTTAAACTATCCTCTCATTTCTGTTTTCTTAATTCTCTTTGTTTCCTGTTTTTATGTTGACTCTCCTCTTTTTTTTTACCCTTTTGTCACTCAGTATGTTCTGAAGTCAACGTGATGATGGCCCTGCTTTATTAACCTAAACCTCCTCCTAATCTTAACCTAACATTAACCCTTAACCACGCCTAACCTTTAACTCGTAACCTCCAACCCCCCCGACTAAAAACTCATCTTAGCCAAAGCAAAATAAATCTGCTTCCTGCAGCCTGGACTCAAACTCTAACTCAATAACAACTCAACCTCCCATAACCTTATTGTCTACTGTCTTTTAATAAACCACCATTAGAAAGTGATGGCAGGAATAATTACAGTGATGCTGTTGTTCTGCCTGGATTTTCAATGGCTCTAAACTCACACTGTGGTGAAGTCAGAAATTGTGATTGGACATGAGGGTGAAATATAAACGTTCATAACCAGAGATCGATGTTTCCCTGTAATGTGTCTGAAATGGGGAAATAGGAAGCTCAAAGAAAGGAAAGTAAAATTAGCAGAATTAAATGATTTACTTCAGATCCTGCGGTCAGTAGTAAGAGTAATTTATCCTCTAAGCATATTAATGAAGTACTTGTTTTTATAATGCATACTAAACCACAGTGTAACCTGACCTGCGCTAACTATAAAATAGACATTAGTCATTTTACGTACATTGTAAACCAGGCACAACTTTAATGAAAGGAATTACCTCTCATTTGTTTGGTACTACAAAGGACGTCTACGTTTCCAAAGCTCTGGTGACTATAAAGACATGAGGTCTGTTCAGAAAATGGAAATAAGTGAGTTCACATTTAATTAAATCTGTAGGATGTTTGGTCATTTTAGAGAACATCTTCACCAATTCAACAGACTTTCTAAAAAAAGGGACATTTATTATTCTTTTTGCACACATACGAGGCTGGGACTAGTGCTAAGTTCAGAGTAAAGTTTGTACCAGTGACCCTCAGCTGTGCCTGCAGGCTGTCTTTGCTAAGTAGGGCACCTCTCTTCAATTGACGCCACCCTGCTGGCATTCTCGAGGGATGGGCAAGGGCATGTAGCTGCCGTGAGTCATCCTTAGATTTAAAGCAGTGGACTTAAAAAAAAAAAAAAAAAGAAAACACAGGAGAAAGGAATTAGGAGGAAGACTGTGATACACACAAACCTAGTTTTATTCCCGGTTCAGGAAGAGAGACAGAAAGAAGAAGAAGAGAACCTTGGGAAAAAAAGTGGTAGAACGTCGTGGAAAAAAATGGCAAAGTGCAAAAGGACAGTTAAGTACTTGGCAGAGAGAAAAAAAGTTGAAGCTGGCTGTCCTTCCCACATCTTAAGCTCTGCCTGCAAGGGATGTATTTTATATTGCATCAACAACATGGGCTACATTTAAAAAGGCCCACTAGCCACCCTCCTGGATAAGCTCAATATTTTATTGCCCCTAATGGGACATTTGGCTCGCAGTCAGACATGTAACACAATACAGATTCACAATAAACAAATAAGAGCAAAAGACACAACTCTGAGGGGAATGAAACAGAGGGGGAGAGAAAGGGGGGAGGACTGAATGAGCAGGGGAGGATGGATGAAGCTTGAGGTGAGGAGTCTGTCTGTCTCACTTAAGCAGGTTTATGGCTTGTAGGATAAATTACAACCTCAGTCTGTTTGATTTAGCCTGTGGTTGCCTGAAGGTACAGGCAGATATTGTAGTTTAGTGACGACTTGGTTCAGCTGGAGAGAATTTGTTCCACAGTAATGGAGAAAAAACAGTGATTCCAATCTATTATTGTTTTTAACTAACATTATACTATTCAGTCGTTTGCCTGAGAAAATGGCTTATGTCACTAAAGTGATGGGTTTCCAATTGCCCCACATGAAATCACATCAAATGAATCGTCATTTAATAGACTGCTTAAATGACATTTAACTTGCACTGCAGATCATCTAATATATGTTCTAATATACATTCCTCCATCATGGTGTATTAAACCCTGTTGAAGCTCAGCTTCAGTTGGCTTTAATGATGGTTCTGGTACTACATTACTGCAGGGATTAGACTCGCGCAACTATTGAGAAGAGAACTCCTTTTTATTGACATTCCTGTTTATACGCAACTATTGAGAAGAGAGAGAGACTCCTTTTTATTGACATTCCTGTTTATTGATTGATGGTTGTCTCTATATGTGGCCCAGCAACGGTTGAGCAAACTGTCCAGGATCTAACCTGCACTAGTTCCATGTCAGCTGGTTTGGGAAGTTTAGTATATTGATCATTTTCATCATTGCTCACTTTTGTCCTGAAGAGCAGAATTTATAGATAAATTAGCCTAAAAAGAGCTTTCTCTTGTACGACTTTCTTTCTCTCAGCGTAACCTTTTACTTTATTTTACGATTCTTAGATTCAATACGATTCTTAGATTCCTTTGTCATACCAACGATGAGTTAAGATTCGGTACGATTCTTAAATTCAATACGATTCCTAGATTCCTTTGTCATACCAACGATGAGAGGTATAATTCTTTTCTTGAAAAAAAAATCTTAAAACACCTGTTGACTTGATAATACAAATTAAATCCAGCGTACAAACCAAACACCTCCTCTAACTACTACTAACATTAACCTTGAACTAAACTGATGTTGTGTCTTCGTTTTTTGTGTCTCCACCAGAGGGTACCCCGATTCGAGGTAAGAGCTATTACAGTAAAAGTGAGAAGAAAAAAATCGATATTTTCAATGGTACATAACCAGACATAACCTTTACCTTTCTTTACTCCACCTGATCAACGTAATATGACGAGGATGTCCTTCTTTAAAATTATTTAAAAATCCAGTTTTTATCCTTTGACTAACACGTGTGTCTTTTTCCATCGTGTCTGTTCTGTGTGCTGTGTTTCCACTGTTTTTAACGTGTTGACATCCTGTTTCTGTCCCATGTTCTCTGTCATCATCATCCAATGTGGACATTCTGTGTCAGTTCCTTCTCATTAACTGTGTCAGAAAATCAATACACAGGTCAAATTTTGGTAATGACTTTTCCAGAGTAACTTTTTATGCCACTATCGGCGTAAACAGATAAAGGAGTGTTTTATAAAAACCCCTTCCTGCTCATCGTATTCCTGTTCTGTCACTCGAGCTTTTGCAACGTTGTGGTCATGTGTGTTTGTTGAAAAATGTTTTGTCCAACAGACTGTGCAGGTAAGTAAACATCTCATCTTTGAATTTCATTTTTAAACAAATAGGTCAACTCTACTGGTTCCACATTGATGGTTTTCTAAGGACATTATTCTGTGTGACATTAGAGCTGCTACACTGAAGAGACAGCCGTCCATTAGACCACAAAACATTTATTTTTAGATCATAGCATAATCATTTTTTGTTCACTATGTTCAATTTTCTCTCTGGTTACTAACAGTACTTTAATCACTTCTCCCTGTGGTGAATAAAGTTGGATTCACCACTGTTGGATCTATGAACTCTGAACGTACATGATGAAAAAAAAAACATTAATTTATAAAAACAATGAATATTCACATAGGTACAAAGTCGCGACAAAAACCAATTCTTATCTAAATAGTTTATTTGAAATCAAGCCATTTAATATAGAGCTGTTACATGAAGGGCGGCTGGACTGGTGAGGTTTCTTGGAGGTTTCTTGAAAATCTTTCAGCTCTCATCCCAGAGGCTTCTTCATTTCATCCAAGAGGTTTCTTCTCCTTCAGAACTGAAGAAGCCTCTTGGATGAGAGGTGAAACGTCTTGAAGAAACCTTTAGGGAAAACTCAGCAGTCCAGCCACCCTTGATATAACTACTTCAGATAAGACCTGGATGACTGAGAACTCACACAGTCGAGTCATTTAATACTGAGGTCGTAAAGTTATTCAGAAGTGTAAAACGGAATTGTTTAATTTTGTAGTGCACTTAAAAAAATGCTTTGTTCAACAGTGAGTCTGGTAATTCCGGCTGAGAGACCATCGGTCTCACACCATCAACTGTCACTTTAATTCAATTTTGTCCTTTTTTTATTATTTTATCATTATTAAAATCTAACTGTATAATTTCACACCAAGCCTCAGTCCACAGATGCCGGGCTGGAAGAGAGAGAAATATATAATCTTAATAATACTCTGTACCTGGTTTATGGTCCTGAGAATGAACACACCACCAGATGGGCACTGACAACATCAGTGCTATCACACGTGGGGCCACATGCTGCTGCGATCACAGCGTATTGACCTTGGAGAGTTGACAGTGTGTGCACTGGCGACAATTGGGACACTTGGGCAACCTGCAAGTCCAGACTTCAGCATCTTATGGTCACCAAGGCAACCTTTGTGTTCTGTGACGAGTTGCAGTAACACCGTGATACAATTCAGAAAAGCAACAGCCAGTGGTTAGAGACTCCACGTGATGTGTTGTTGTTTTTCCTTTGACAGAGTATTTGTATATAGGTTAGCCACACACCGGTTGTTTGTTTTCACAGTTTTGAAGAAGTAGATATAAATAAATCCATATTTAAAAAACACTTCATCCTGAACCGTACTTGTTGTAACATTGCTAGCCTCGCATCGTGCACTCCTTATACTTCAGTAGGTATGAAGCGTATTATGTCGAGTGTGTGCGCGCTCAGACGGCAAGGTGCTAAGTGTGGCTGTTAATTGAAGAGCATCAGTGAAGGGATGTTGTTTGGAGGCGTGAGGAGGAAAGCGGCAGGAGGGAAGACGAGAAACGAGGGGCAAATTAGTGACACAAACTGAAAACAAGAGATAAAAACCATGAAAAGAACAGTCGTCCACCTGCGTGACTGAGTGGGATGCAGAGGGAGCGACAGGGAGGG